TGCTGTTTCGTTTTCTTATTTTACTGTTTTAAACTTGTTCCTGTCTTCCTCTCTCGTTTTTCCCTCTCTATTCTCCTATTTTCTTCCCTTAAATTCGCCTCATTCGTTTTCTACGGTTTTCTCCTCCTAATTCGTTTTCGTTTTCCTCATTCTCCCTTTTTCTCACTCCCTTTCGCCTTCTTCGTTTCGTTCTTCTCTCCCCCTCTTTCGTTTTCCCTAGTCTTTTTCTTCTTGAAGTCCTCGTTTTCTTATCTAACTACTTTTTTTATTTTCTAAGGTTTATCCCCCTCTCTCTCGTTTTCTCCTCCCTCCTCTCTTGAAGTCATTGCTGTGTTTGTGTCTTGCTTTTTACAAATTCAAAATCTTATTTATATGTTCCTTCATTCCTTCTTCATCACATAGGTTTTTATACTCATTAATTAATGCTTCAATGTATTTATTTAGAAAGCAGTCTAAAATGTCTCTTATCTTAAATGATTTATTTCTAAGCCAATAGTTATGATTAAAATTAACCAACCACCAACATCCATTATCTTTATAGTGTTTAATACCATGATAATAATGTAGTTGATAAAGAATATGATATGTATTTTTCCATTCTTTCTTAACATACGATTTTACAGCAGATAAAAACAGTTTATTTTTCTTAAACTCTTGTTTGATTTCGTCAGTTTCAAGAAGTTCATTAATTTCTCGTTTCATAACAGTTAGATTTAATCTGTTAGTTCCTGATAAATAAATAGGAGACTTAATATAATTTTGTGATGTATATATTTGTTTTTCTGTTTTGTTAAGGTTCTCATTATAAAAGTTTAATTTCTTAATCATTCTTTCCTTAATATAGATATAATCACATTTTGGACAGTTAAGATTATAATCACATATCATTTCACAAACATTAGCAGGTAAAACCTTATATAACTCAACCTTAACATTATTATTATTTATCTTACAACACTGGCAATCTTTGTAATTAAAAATCATCTCCATAATATATAAGGAGTTTGTTCTTTAAGTCATTTTGGGGCAGGGTGTTGAGTTCAGAAAAATATTTTTATGTTAATCAACTAACAGCAACTCGTGTCTGTTATATTTCTTGCTCTGTCCTTCAACAACATAATATTTATTGAGCTGCATATCTCTTTTAACAGCACTAACTTTATATGTTCTGTCGCTCCACTGGTTTCTTGTTTCTTTCCTACTAGTGTAGTTTCCCTTCCCCTTAAGAAATATTTTAACTTTGTCTCCTTCCTCTATCTTGTGATACCTTCGTAAATACTTTTCTTTCATTACACTATTTGCTTTAACCTTAACAG